CTGAAGGACTCTGGGCGGCTTACAACAATACATTTAAAAATAGAAGTTAAAAGCACAAAAACATAGATTAAAAAGACCACAACATACACCACAACATACATAAGATAAACTTACTGTGCCGCAGTTGACTATGGGACTCACAAGACATCTGTACCTATCCTGATCTAGGCCCCAAGAACAGATTCCAGTCTTGACACCTCTGAAATTATCTCTGCTGCAGAAGATGAATTGCCAGATTCTAATATTTGTTTCTGCTACAAAAGGATATTCTGTATACAGCAAGCAAATGTGGATCACAGTGAACATGAAAATGGTAAGAAGCATAGAATTCTTTGATGTAATACATTATAGGTTGTTGTCTCTCTAAATGTTTTTCAAGCCCTGTATTCTTCCTTTTTATAGTAATGTTTGTTTGTTTTTTGTTTCTTTTAGCAAACATGTCTGACATATTTTAGCTTTTAGAAGAAGGATAGATACCAAGAAAACTGAAAAGACATATAGAGTTAAAAAGAGAATGGTATCAGTGAACATATTCATTACTATTCAGGACCCTTCTTTCTTAATTTGAATGAAAGAATAGAAATAATAGTAATAGTAATACAATTATTGACAGTTCTGTCTTGAATATCTGTGCCTTGAGTTCTGCCTATCAACAGTCAATATAGTTTTCAAACCTGTCAAGTTAAAAATGGGTAGTAGCATCTTTGTTGGAATAAGTCTTCTACAAAACAAGCATGACAATTTGTTTTGGGGACACAACCATGATGTAAATTTGGGGTCATCTCTCCACCATTGTTCTGTACTTAAACTCTTGGTTGTTTTAAGATTATTTAAATGCTTTTTTTCTTTTTACTTGCTTTCTTTTAATAAATGAATATTTTGAAATTCATGATAGTCATTTTATGAATATTCAAAAGTTCCATCATATGTAAATTCATTTTTTGTTCCTGTTTCTGAGAATGTTCTGGATTATACAATTCACTCTAATCTGTTTTCTGTCACAACTTTTCAAAATTAAATCATACATACTTTATTTAGAAATAAAATATTGATGGGAGGTGAGAATGACATACTGTTAAAAATACTATAGAAAGAAACCCATGTCAGTGTATAGTATCCAAAAGTCAGAGGGTGCCTGTGAAGATATTAATCCTGCAACATTAAGCCTTGCAACAAAACCAAGCATCTACTTTCCTCACACATTTATATCAAGAGCATCATCATAAGCTCCAACAACTTTACACACTGTCTTCACATGTTCTTTCTCTAATGGGATATATGCCATTATCCACCAGCAATGACATTCTGATTCCAAAATAGACAAATCTTGAGACAAAGAACTAATGAACACAAATTTGATATCAGGGTTCAAATAAGGACAAAGGTAATCCCAGGACACTCTAAGTTAAAGATCCCAGGGTTACTGTTTTGGAAGAAAGAAGCCATACCACAGAGTGAGAGGCTGTGGAACTCACATACATCAAAAGAGTATTTTGAAAGGCCTTAAGAGTGGCTTTTTCAACATATTACAATTGGTATTTTGAAGAGGTGCTTGTAATCTGAATAATTCTTATCCCAACCTGAAATCCTATACCAATTTCACCACTCTATACATGCCTTTTAATAAAATTTACTGTTAAAAGATGCTATCAGGCTCCTTCTCATCATCAACAAAAACTTTTCCTTTTAGAAATATGTTTCAAGCTTTTGCATGTAAATTCATATGAAGGAAACTTGGGTCTTTTAAAATGTTATCTTGTTATACAGTAAAATCTTATAATTGCATGCCTTTGTAGACATTTTTATTTCTCACTTTTCTGTTTGATTCCCAGAAGAGATCGCAGCACCTCGGTGCCATTTTTTAATCCCACTAAGGCTGCTTGCCTTTATCCTTGCCTTATTTCTCACTTTAATCATAGCAACAGCCATTGCCTTGAGTGGTGAGTACAAATTATTTATTAGGTTCTCAGTTAACAGTTTGCATTTTTCATGACTCTCCCACCAAGAATAATATAAATTGGATACTAAAAGTTGCATCTTGAATTATTGCTGTTAAAGTAATGCTAATAAAAAACCTCTCATGAGCTTTGTAAAGTAAGACAGTCACTAATAGGTGTAGTCTGGTCTTCCCCCATCTTGATGCGCTCCAGAGATGTTGGACTTCATTCCTCAATGATTCCCAGGAAACCTGGCCAAAGTACAAATTGCCTGGGAGATCATGGAAACTGAAGTTCAGCTACTTTGAAATGCAACCCTCAGCCCTGGGAAACAGGTTATTGCAGAGAGTCAAATCCTTCTTGAGACCCATTATATCATTTCTTTGTACTCTCACTTTTCCTAAGTATTTCAGGTACCTGCTAGCTTTCTTTCACAAAGTCAAGCACCTGAAAGTTCGCTAAGCTTTCAATCATTTCTATTGCTATACAAAAGTCAACATACATAGATTACCTTTTGGGGGGCATGCAGTCACATTGACTACACATAATACCACCTTTATTTATCTAAGTATCAGCAAAGTTGAAGTGGCACTGGATTTTCCTCAGTCTCTATTTTCTTATGGAATAGTGTCTCATTTTAAGAGCTACCATAAACTAAGAAAAACGAGGGGAAAATAATTAACCAAGATTTATGGTTCACAAAAAGCTTTCAGTATAGAAACATATGGGGGACAATAGACAGGCTCACAAATTTTTGCTGATACTTAGATAAATAAAGGAGGTATTATGTGTAGTCAATGTGACT